GGAAAAGGGTTTAGCAGTCATATGACAAATATCAATATAAAAGGTCAATATTAAGTGATTATCGAGCTTAAAACGAGTTAATAAAATCAACTAGCTATATATAAACATAAAATTACGAAATAATTCCAGGGATAGAAGGCTTTGATGATCTACTTACGATATATACACCAGGGCATATGCGGGCATAACACGTGCGGCATACGAAAACCGGAGTGATATTCCCGAGTAATTAGTGCAGAAGTTATCAAATCTTAATGGCCCTTCAATTGAACATAAGGAAACTCATCATTATGATTACGTAATGCCTAATTGTCTTTTGGTAGGTTTCGAGATTATCAGTAATTTTACAATAAGAATTTAGTTATAGATAGGGAAACCAAGATGGTATAGTCTTCGGTTTGGTCGCAGTATTCTTTACCTTTGCAGTGCTGGTTTGACCTCATTTTCGCAACTTTATCAGGGACAAGCAAACCTTGTGGAACTTCTGCGTCCTCTGCTATAGTATTAATAAGTTACAGTATCAGATCACTGATTTATCACATTCCCAGACATTTCGCCGTCACCCTAGGTCGCTTTCTTAACTTAAGTACAGAAAGAGTGACATCAATTTGATCAAAATTTGAGGATAAATTAATTAAGTCGTCTTCTTTTTTCAACACTGGTATCCTAAAATAGCGCTCGAATACCAGTTAATCTATTGAAGTGATGTGACCACGTTATTGCAGCATGGTCGTATCGTCAGAGTGATCAAGGTGAATGCATCTTGTCAGGAATACCTGCCACAGTAGCCATGGTATTTTCCATTGTCACACTGCAATTTACTGTACTTGCATATAATGTTCGTATGATACAATTTAAAAAAACTAACAAAACTATTTTTCGGACAACTGACCATACCAGATTTTAAAAAGTTGTATTCCAATTAATGTATCTACTAGGCGTTGTATTCTTTGTTGGAGTACCTTGGTCATTACCGAGATGTTTGTATAAAAAGAGACTTAAATAAAGCAGCGTTCATTTCATAATCATATGCATATGTAAAAATAGTAAATCAATAGTAAGAACTTCGAAGTTTTCCTTCAATATCTGACACTCATTAGTATGACGGACAACATCATCCTTACAACCGTATTCAAGCTAATGAGTCAAGAAAACTCACTGGCTCATCCCTAAATAGCTGTGTATATACTCCATATCTGAACTCCTTAATGAGGTATAAAGTGATTTGGTTAGACATATAAACTCATATACTTCTAGGTTGACATGATTGGAACTAACCAAATCATTTTATACCTCATCAAAGAGCTCAGATATAGAGTATATATACAGCATTTAAGGGATGAGCCAGTGAATTGTTTTGACTCGTTAGCTTGAAAATGGCTGTGAGGATAATACCCTGTTCGGATGAAGTCCGTTATATGACGGACGAAGGCTTAGCATGTTTTCACCCTAACCAAAAGAGATTACCTCAGAAACAGTGTCAACAAGAATGTTCCTGTGAAGCCAATCGATAGTTGGTCAAGAGGAATCCATCGTCATATTCTGGTGGGATCGACCTTCGAATCTCTTCTCCTTGAATTTTGACTTTTCTTTCTCGCCCTCCTAAAAGAATTGGCTAATTATCAAGAATGTCAAGAATCAAGAAATTTGGCCATATATCTATTATAATGTGTTCATTTGACCGAGCAAACGTTGGAAGCCGGTCATCTATTTCGCTAAATACTGACGTAAGACAAAATTTATTTTATAGGCTGTAAGATCCAAAGGTCAGAATTTGCAGAATGTACAGCATAAATTGGACATGAAATCTGGTGTAAGAAGTCTTGGTTTTCGGATCATGTCATCTGTTGTAAAGTGCAGGTTAAGAATGGGCGTAACAAATTAAGCAAAAACTACATATGCTTCATTAGAAGGCCTGAGGATTGGGAGGTATCGAGTCCCTCTTTTCCAAACTGTCCTAGACTTTGGCTCTATATAATATCATACTTTTTATACTTGGATAATAAAACTTAAGAGCATATACACGAGTGTTTGACACTGTATAGTCGTAGTTCTAAGTTTATTTTCGAAACCTATTTTACATTGATATAAGTTTACTAAAATTGAACAAAAAGTTATCAAGCCTTGATAACCTTAGAACAGGCATTTCTTCTCTGTTAGGATTACTCGGGACTATCCCTGGTTCCTTATATCCACACATACGCAAATGAACATGCATACATACGCAGAAATGTACCTTCGTAAAGAAATAGCCAAGTTTTTAAATATCCCAATTGAGAAGGTTTCAAAGTTACCCGTGGCTCTTGAATATGAGCTGTATTCACCCTAGGTCGCTTAACGTGAATTTTCACGTAATACTATAAGTAAGCCTCATTGTGCCAGTAAATTTCACTTAGCTATGCTTCTCAAAAGGTATTAACTTCCAGGGCTGACTGCAGTTTTGACCTCGTCTGGGTCTCATCAGCACTCTTAAGGTGAATCAAACCCTAGTCGTGAAGTGTACAATTTAGACCTACAGCCACTATGCCACAGGGGCCAATGAGTCACATGGCAGACGTACATTTCAAGGATATCTAGATCTTTTTCATGCCACATTTGGTTGGTAAAACTCCTTAAGATAGTTAGTTTAGAAGGCTAGTCAATCGGTATGTAAGTAATGTATGTGATTTGTAGCAACAAATAAAGGTTTGCTTAATAGACAATTACAACAGAGAATGTGATATAGAAAATGACTGACATTCCATGAAACCCATATCTTCCCTGTGACCCAAGGGCACCCGTGACAATGTAGAGGTGTGGTTGACGTGTCTAGATTACACTCTGAACTTGCATGATTCGGATCCCGCAGGGGGTGTTGATAAGACATATGCCAGGTCGAAACTGCAGTCCACTGGTGCCTGGAGGAGAACAAATTTTGGGAAAGCAAGGCTCAGTGAAATTCAATGGAAACGACAGCTTTATTCATACATTTGTAGTAAAATTCAGCTACAATTCCTTCATTACCTTAAACGAAATAAAGTAATTATATCTTACATAACTGATTTACTAGTAGTCTGAAACCCGACTTATGAACGAAAAACAGTATTCCGCTTTTGGTAAATCGATTATGTTAAACTAAGCCTCGGCAGAAGAAGATAGCGCATATTGTAGCCATTTAGCTTGTTCTATATGTGGGTTAGGCGAACTACCAGATCTCTGCATGATATGATGTGGTAGGAGCTGTAGTCATATTACGAAAAATCTTTCGACACGAAGTTTTAAAATCATAAACATTTCTCTTCTACTTAGTTTTGTCACATGACGACAAGGATAAGATAGGATACAATATGTGCCTTCTCGTCCTGACTTCCGAAACAGAAAAGGTCTCGTGATCACCAACAACATTGATGCATTTCAAGACTGACACCAGTTTGCATCTGGGCTATGTATAACCAGGTGAATTCGAGGATTGGGAATAAGCCTTGTTGGCACAAAAGTAACATTGCACTTTTTTCACCAAGCTCGTCTTCTAGAAAATACCAGAACTATCATGACTAAAAAATGTCCTGATGTGTGAAAATAACATTGATGTAGGTATGCCTTGAAGCTGAATGAGAAGACTTTTAAGCTTTAATCAGCCTCCTGTAGTCACATGAGTACATATAACCTGTTTTTCGCAACTTGGTCGTGTTTAATGGGAGACTTGGTAAAAGGGCTTGCAGATTAACCAGCCATCGCCACGAAAATCTTGAATTCTTTCCAGATCAGAACGTTGATCTGACATCTGCTCAAGCATTCGGTTGGCATGTTATTCGGCATCTTCATGTCTCGTATGCTAGACTTAACATGAGATGATAAAACATCAACTTGGCCTGCAGTGCAAATTCCCCTAAGGCTACTAGAAGCAATTCCGTAGATGGCCAACGGCGTCACCAACTCATAGTCGTATCATGAACCGAAATGGGAACGCATGCAAAAAGCGAAATTGTGCACCACGGTGGTATACTACCCAATACTTGGCTGTCTAGTCTATCAGAGCATGATTCACCTTAGGTCACTATAGGTGATTAAAGACTGATAATTAATTTTCCCTAAATGAGTAGGTCTCAGTATGTAATTAACTTTTACTTAATATTTCTTACTAAAGGTATTCTTGTCCAGCTCTTATTCATGATCTACCTATAGATTTGAACTTCTACTTAATTCGAGTACAAGTAGCGTGTCGATCATAATGATAAATACATTTTTCCCTCAGCAACACATTACTAAAAAATTAACATATTGGAGAAACCTAGCTTGCTGGTAAATGCGCTTCTCCCCTTTAGTGGCAGCATGTTATACTGCGTTAACCAGGTTAGATTACCCCTAAGAGAGGGGAGACTGACGAGACTAAATTGCAGTCCAAAATGGATGCAAATACCTTTTGGAGGCTAGATGAAACTTAAATTGAATAATGAGGCATACCCATCTCATTTTAAGGTAACCAAAGCTCTCAATTAAGGTCTACTAAGGGTCTTGAAATTCTACCTTATTAGAATTATGGGCTTCTAGTTATCTTTACCTCTTTTTGCTTGACACATTTAGTGAAAGTCAGAAGTACTGATTAGCTGTATTCAACTTATGCTATTCCTCGTTTCTCTTCCTTTCCAATCCCTAAATCCCGGCATTACGTACAGATTCAGACCTATTGCCGTCATTAGTGGCTCCACATTCTACCGCCCCTGACGACCTGTATCTTTTAGAGTAGGGCAGGGGTTAGGGAGCCAAATAAATCAGGCCGCACAATCCCCAGTAGCCAACAAAAAACAACTACTTTATCCTGTCCAGTCGATCGCTAGGATCTCTCAGTCCTTGTCTCTCCCTCCGTTCTACCTTTCCTTACGTTGCTCAGCCTGACTTCACCAAGTGGCTTGCCTGTATAAGCTTGTGAACGTGAAGAAAAAGAGGCCACATCGTAACGACGTAGAGGGCGTCAGAAGAAGGGAAGGTAGGCCTAGGTGGGAGGATTATAGTCCACATCGATGGGAGTCAGATCACACAAGTTTGGTAAAGCAATGTCTGTCGACCTTGTCGGTGGACCTCTACTCTCCTCGTCCTCATCCTCTTCGTCCTCGTCATCTTCGTCATCGTCCTCTTCATCTTGCTCCTCCTCATCATATTCCTCCTCCATCCCCGCCTCTGCTGTCATCGTGGCGACCACCACCTCCACTACAAGAGATTACTTCTCTCCAGACCACTCGGCTCCCCTCACACCCAACTATTCACTCCCTCAGGGAAGAGACCCTGGCCCTTCGAGTGGAGCATCACCTCGAGGCAGTAGCTGTCTTGCTCTGCACCAGACAGTCGGTCCCCCTCAGTCAGCTGGCCATCTAATTTACATCAGTCCGGAGGAGTACATGCCACCCGGGTCTCGCGATGAGCCTGGGCTCCACACACAACTTTCACCCCTGTCTGGAGTGGCCAACAGAAGCCCTTCTGTTCTGGATCATCCAACCGGTCTTTTAGGGCCTTTCGAGGAGTCATACACCTCCCCAGCAGGACAGTCAATACCACCTGCCTATGTTTATCCGTCTTGTGGCTATGAAATGACTGCCGTTTCTCCTGCAAGCTTCCCCACCCTAGCGATGCTCACGGCTTACACTAATTCGATCTACCCTGCAGGTAGCACCAGTTGGGAGGAGCTGCCGAATCGAAGTGGTGGCCGAATGGCGGCTGGAGTGGCACCATGGCAACGCTGTGATAGTGGTCGGCACAAGATGAGGTCATCGTCGGCTGAAATGGGGGCGGACGAAGAGGATGGACATGATGAGGAAGAGGAGGAAGAGGAGGAAGCAGATGAAGAAGATGAAGGAGAAGACGAAGGTCATGGGCGTGAGAGGAAGGATGCTGGGGAGGCTTGTTTAAGGACAATGCAGCAAGTCGGACGGCAGCACAACCACGATATCCACCTGACTGCTCTCTTTCCACATGGTCGAGGAGGGCACTTTGCACAAGTTAATGAGAAGGAGGATGGTCAAAATGGCGTCGAAGCAGAGAGCGAATATACAACTCAGAGTGAGAGGACGATCGAGGCCGGTGAGCCTACCTCAATGGGTACAGCCTCACTAATTTTGATGCAGTTGTCAGGTAAGCCAAACAAAACAGATTTTAATGAAATAACATGCAAGAGAAAAGTGTATATTCACCAGGATTGGAAAGCAAATAACCGAATTGATAAAACTAAAGGGCAATAGGGACCAATCGCTTCTGGGATAGATTCTAAAATAGTTCAGCTTCTCGTGAGCGAATGTTGGCAGAAAAAGATATATAGAAAAGATTATAAGAAGTGTTGTGAACTCGTTTTAATAACTTGGTCATGTTGTCAGGGCGACCTAGTTGGACGCACCTTGTCCGAAGTCCTCTGCAATAGTAGTTATGGACCATGAACTTGGTACATTCCCAGACGTTTCACCTTTATCGTCAGTGAGTCTTGCATCAAGCTACAACTCGTAAAAAAGACTCATATCTCTCGTAGCTTGGAGCTGCGAATGGTAAGACTCACTGACGATGCCGGAGAAACGTCTTGGAATATACCAAGTCCATAGTCTATGGCTGTAAATTATAATAACTACTATAGCAGAGGACTTCAGACAGAGTGTGTCCAAACAGTTCACCCTGACAACACGGCCAATTTGCTTAAACGAAGTTAGACCACTTTTATAGACAGGAAGAAGACTACGACCAAAAATAGAGGACACAAAAGTTTGGTCTTTGCATCAGCTAAAAGAATGAAATTTGAAATAAATAGCTCATTATAAAAGCTTAATGAGCTAAAGGCCTGGTCGTGAATTTTCTAAAACTAAGATGAGTAGGCCGCTCGATGCCATTAGTAGTCTAGAACTTTTACTTAATTATAATACAAGTAGCCTTGTCGACTGCTAAGACAAGTAGATTTCTACTTTAGCGACAATTCCATTAAACAGGACAGGCCTAACTTGCTTCGAAATTCACTTCTTCTCTGTAACTGGTTGGCACTCATGGCAGTATTGGTAATTTTGCCTAATTAATACACTGTCCTACCCATGTTAAATTCCGTGTGGTGGTGCGAGGTCGAAACTGTAGCCCGCTATGGATGAGAATACCTTTTAGATGCAACGCTAAAGGAACTTAAATTGCATTGCTAAGCTTACTCATCTTATTTTAGTATAATTCACTATCACTAGGGTGGCCAAAGCCCTTATTCAAGATTGAGTGATAGTCTAGAAATTTTATTTAATTCAAATGTAAATAATTTTGTGGCTCATGATTTGTATTTTCGTATGGCCATGGATGTACTAATTCCGGAATCGAAACTACACCAAAGCATATTGTCTGATAGTTTTCGTCACTATCTGACAATGTTAGTAACCGCTGACCAAATTGCCTTTGATCTTTATCGATATGATGCTTCGTACGAATTTTCGACAAATATGCGATTAGGAATTTTCTTAACCTAGATGGATAAGACTAAGTGAAATTCAGTTGCTTTGTCAAGCCTATTTATATCTTTGTGGGAAATACTTAACTCGGAGTTTTTTAATCACCTTAAACGACCTAGAATAAGAGTATGGTAGGATAAATTATATTAGTCTCAAAACCAACCCATATCGAAAACATGTGCTTGACTATATTGAGGATAAAAAAACTAGCGAAAGAGAGGAAAGAAAAAAGCGGCAGACCGAATAAGGAGAATGCTGAACTAGGGTGTAAGGAATAGACATAACTTATAGGGAATATTGCCACATATGTTTAGAGTAATTGTAAAAAGTAGTACCAACAAAACCGAAATCTTGTATACAAGTAAATATCACCACCACGACTACTATTAATTATAATATTGAAATAATTAATAGTGGCCATTTATATATTAGCAAGTTTGCAGATATTTTCACTCCTTGACAAACTCTGATATTAATTTTAACGTGACATCTTTGTGAAAGGTTTTTTAGTCTCCGGCTCGACATTTACTTATATTTGTGGCGCAATGCAATCTTTTAAGCCAAAAATTCCATGCTAAGAGGAAAGAAGTTAAAAAGTAACAACTATAGATAAATGTTATCTAGATCTTGAAGGCTGCTGCTTAGAATTAGGGCTAGATGACAAGCGAACTCTAAGTCTGATTCATACGAGGGCAAAAGAATAAATAATAGAGTTTTCCGGTTAAAAAACAATCCTGATGTGGTGGAAATTATCACAATCAGGAGTTGCCTCCACCCGTGGATTCAGGCTTCAACATTTACTCTGGTTATTCGGTCATCAAAGGCATCTGCACACAGCATGAAGATGCAAACAGTCCCTGTTGAGCAAATTTTGAATGATCTCCTGTCGACAGTCTGGGTAAGATTTTAGAGAAATTTATTGAACTCATTTGTTGAGCTTATTTTATCTTCCATGTTGAAAGCATTTAATTATCAACCGATCATTTTGAAGTGGTCTTCAGCAGCCGAAAAGGAGATGACATCACTTTTGTCACCACTACTCACGGCTAGGCTCTTGCTCCATATTCTTGTCAGTCAAAGACAGGAAATCATAATCTTATGGAAACTAGGTTTTATATAATCTCAATTACCCTAAGGTTTGATAAAAATGTGGCAAATGTTTGACAAACATTGGCGGATACCACTTGTGCAAGAACAGGGTCATTGCTACAACGATTGGTGCAATCCAAGGAATCCTTGGTAATGCCCTAATGTGAGACACAAATGGGGGATATTTTAGACTAGAAAGTTAAGAGGTATCAAGCTGTATGGTGATACAGGGATTGATGGCATTTTTACCCTCGGTAGATTGAATTGAAAGCTTGAAATGTAACTTGAATACACCGAACCATGCATCTCCGAAAGACACTCTCAACCTAACACATTAGTTTCGACTGGATACATAGGTGGTGGGTTTCAGTTGGGCTAATCTAAGATCCAAACGAAGGTTAAGACCTTGTTCTTAGTGTCTATTCCTAAATTCCTAATGGTTTCGAATAGCTTTAAAATAATTTTAGATATAATATTTCTTTTCTCTACTTTTATTCCAACTAGTCTTTACATATTTTTTTCATGAGCAGGTTTTCGAGACTACACTTGATATAGTCTTTCTATAGGCTCTATTAAATCTGCATGTGCCATATATTAAAGAATTCCATCCTCCCTTCCTTTAAGCAGCAGGCCCTCTGCGCCGCCCCAGTTCGCAGACTCCGGAGCCCTGTCGACGAGCCTACAGTAATGATACTCCTTCTCACTTAACCTCCGGAAGCTCGAACACCACGAATATTGCAACTGGCATTCCCATTACTCTAATGTCTAATACAGGCGTCAGCCAAATCAACCAGTCCAGGACGGCCCGCAATATGGCAGGGTATGGTCGCGATGGACCCCAGACTGCAGGTTCTGAAGTGTGTCATCAGACTGGAGCCTACTCTAGAGCATCGTACATGTGCCGAAAGTGCAAGTCCCATGGACAGAGCATCCCAGTGAAGCGGCACAAACGAGCTTGTCCTTTTCTCAACTGTGCCTGCCTTAAATGTCGCTTGGTGGATCAGGGGAGGAAGGTTTGTCATTACTCTACATAATTAAACGTGATTTATTTAAAGAGTAACGTACACTAATACATGTTTGCTTTATCGAAATTCCCACTATAAATGTAATTTGGAAGAGGCATGGTTTGCTCCAAATGTAAAATCTGCCCTGAGTACCACTGGTGCCAATGGCCTTATCGCGAAGTAGTAACATGATGCCACGATTCTCACTACCCAGTAACAAATACCGATAGGTGTGCTGGTGAAACTTAGGCGAATCGCGGCAACATTATCAATCCATCACATGGCCACGATTGCCAGTAGATCACAGGGCAGATGCGACATTCAAGAAATGCCAGGCTTCTCCCGACTCACTTTTATAGTGGGATTGCCGATTAAGCAAACACGTGTTCTCCATTGCAATCGACGAAGTTAATTAATTTCGATGAACTCAGTTTTCGAGTCTATAAACAGTTTCCAAATTAATAATTAATAATTAAATTCATGACATCGTGCGGACTACTTATCTCAGCGTGGGAACGTTCTATTATCAGTCCTTAGATCGCCTTAAGTGATCTAGACCTCTTATTCATGAATAAATGATGATCTCGAAAGTAACTCAGATCGAAATGGAGAAACTTAGGCCAGTCAATACTGCAGTACAAGTTGGATGAGAGAAGCATTTGGAAGTAAAGCTAAGTGAAAGTCAATGGTATCGTAACACCTACTCTCTCCTATTCTACCTATGGTGATTAAGTTCTTATTCACTAATTAGTGAAGGCTCGATTTAGACATTCATGAGTAAATGTAGAGTAGACGACTAACCTTAAACCTTCTGAATTTCTTGGAGAGGATATAGGAGGCAAGAAGAGATCTTGGAAAGTGGAGAGGGGAAGTAGTGAGCAAGGGTCTAAGAAAGGAATATAAGCAAAGAGTATACTCATAGTGCACGATTAAGATAAACGTACATAGGAAGAGCACATATTGGGCAAGAGGAAGGTCAGTTTCATTCGTTCCAAGATATATCAGTTTCACTACGAAATTTCATCGTATTTTCCCATTTTTGCAGGTGGTGGCGAGACAAATCGCACTATACAGAGACCAAAGGAGTAACAATCACTCAGCGGGCAAGCAGATCTCTTCGAAGGACTCAGCAAGGTTGTCGAGGGCCCCAGAATCAAGTAGTTTAACTGACGAAAGAGGCCAGAAGGGGGGCGGTGACGGAAGTGGAATAGAAGGCAGGGACGTGCATGTTACTATTGGAGACAAACATGCGTCTGAATGCTGCAAAGGACTGGTTCAAGTCGACGCTCCTTTCTATTGCCCTACACCGGCCTTGGCTGGCCTTAACTCCAACCATCTAATTCCTACTACAATTTCAGCGGGCTTAGAAATCTGTTTCCAGAACTCCGGAATAATCGTTCATCAAGTCGAGCAACAGGATCGACCAGAAGCTCTGCAGGAGTCTGGGTTTGATCCCCGAAGGCTAGGTGAATCCCCATTTACGTGTAATATAGAAGAGGGACTGACAATTTCGAGTAAAACGGGGCAGATTATAGGCCAGCCAAATGGGCCTGGACCACATTGTAGGCGCTGTCGAAATCACAATATTGAAATAACTTGGAAAGGGCACAAGAAAGCGTGCCCCTATCGTAACTGTCCATGTGATCCCTGCCGTCTGATCAATGTGAGAAAGGACACAGAGAAGACACTTAGAGACATGGTAAGCTCCAAATATGTGCTTAATTTATATAAAGCATATTAAACTAGAGTTAGTCAGAAAAACAGAATTCTACTTTGAGATGTATTCATTTTATTCGCTTCCCAAAAAGAGAGGCTACGTAAAATTCAATGTAACGTAAAGTCTATTCATATCATCATGGGAACATTAAACTACCAATCCTTCATTATCTTAGCAAAACAGGATGGCTACATCTAATTAATCCTCTACTGGAAGTAACCGAAAAATACGAATTATATAGAAGATGGAAAGGTTGATATTGCGACAATTCTGATGTTATTTTCTCGGCACTTTTTAAAGTTCATCTTGTTCTTTGCTAAGAATTATAATTTACTTCTCTAACTTATAACAAGTAATCAGATATACAGGCTAAAAAACTATGGGCAAATTCGCAAGCAGGATTTATGCTACGGTGGCTTAGTTCGTAGAGCTTCGGTTTTCTTTGAGCATAGGATAATTAGATCCAAAACCGAAATATGATCCATGCTACCATTTCGTTTCTATAATTTGATGTAAAAGCCGCAGTGAGTGAATTGATTTGAGTTTTGACTAGTTCAGCTCCAGCAGGAGGCCTCTGGCATATTTCGATCCGATTACCAAAATAATTAGTATGCAAAACTTTCAGTTGATTTTATATAAAACCCAAGTCACTCAAAGTAATGAGTGGCAAGCCTCATCTTGTTAAGAAGTTCATAAAAGGTATTCTCATCCAGGACGGACTGCAATTTTGACCTTGTTTGGATGTTATCAGCACCCCAATTGGAATCTGACCCGGGTAGTGCAGCGTATATTTGCGAAATTAGTACTACGCCATATGGAAAACGGCGCTATTGAGTCACAGGGCGGGCGATAATTTCAAGGCAAGTCAGACCTTTGGAGTACCTATCATTTCGTTTGAAGAGGTGAGGAGAAAGGATTCATAAGTTATCTCATCGGAAGCTGTAAGGGGATTGCCTTGGAGCTGTGATTGTAGATTGATGGAAATTGGCCCTCGACGATCCGCTCTGTGAACCCGATGAATTCTTGCTGAGCTTTTATCCGTCATGCGACACACATCGTCGGAGCGGGATGCCATGCTTAACGATAATTCACCAAAAACACGAAGGCAAGAAAGGTGGATGGCTTCAAACCTACCTACTTTTTGTAGTCAAATTTGGTCCACTTAGGCATCTCATGTTTTGGTTGGATATCCTATGCTTTTTTCGTGAGTAAGTAGTTTTTCGAGACTACCACCTACGAAGCAACTTATATATTCCATACTTTTCCTAAATGTTTGCACAAAAGTTAAGTGGCTGCAGATGAAGCGTGAAAGGGATGCAATTGTGACCGAACAGCTACATCCTCACATAAAACACACGTGATCTCACGCGTGCTGTATGAATGCATTGCTCTTGAAAAGAGGGTGATGTGATAGTCAAAACCAGATTCTAGCCTAATCAAGTCTCCTCCTCTTGCTCGCTGGTACTTATCGTTCCTCCGCCCTTTAATTCTACAATCACAGCTCCAAGGCAATCCCCTTACAGCTTCTGGTGGAAGTAACTTACGAATTCCTTCCACTCGCCTCTTCAAACGAAATGAAAGGTACTTTAACATCAATCTATTGAGGGAGTCTTCGAAACACAGTTTTTATACAAGCCAGACCTTTCCCATCTCGCATTTATATTGGGGCCGTCGATTAGGAATACTTGTATCTTGCTTTTGCAACATAATACATTATTTGTAATCGTAAGAAGTAGTTTTCGATACTGTCCGTTGACCTTGAGGGGTTTATAGTTGAATTTTCCCATAATGACATGAATAGGCTTCACAACTCCAGCAAATTTTGCTTGGCCTTACCTCCTTAAAGGCATTCCCAACAAGAGTGGACTATAGTTTCGACCTCGCCTAGATCTAATCAACACCCCTAAAGAGAATCGTATCCATGTAATGTGAAGCACATCTACCCGAGTTTGATTCCCTTTGGAGGTGCTGATGCGACTCAGACGAGGCTAAAGCTGCGGTTTACTCTGAATGAAAATATCTTTTGGATAGCAAATCTAGGAAAATTCAATGCCAGTGGAAGGCCTATGCTTCACATTGTGGGAAAATTTAACTATCAGCCCTTTATCACCACATGAGGTCAACGGTGAATACAGCTCTTATTCAATTTCTTCTGGAAGTATTGAAATCTACTCATTAGGAATATTAAAATCGTATTTTCTAATAAATCCAAGAATAATACTTCATTGTTGGGCTTACTTCCATTTCGAGTAGAAGTGTTTGGTGAAGAGATTCGAAGGTCGGTTCCACCATAAGACGACGGCGAATTCCTCTTGACCAGCTGTCGATTGGCCTTACTGGAAGATTCGTGCTGATGCTGTTTCCGAGGCAATCTCCTTCGATTCCGGTGAACCCGTGCTGAGCTTTTGTCCGTCATATGACGGACATCATCAGA